TTGTCAGCGTATGCCTTAGGCTATATACAACTAAATAGTCGGCCGACTAAAAATTACACATGTCTGTCAACGCGTAGGCATATTGTTTCTAATTTCCCTTCACAGTATCCAAACTATTTAAACTGTTAAGAGTCCATTTCACTAGTCCGAAAAAGTAACAAAATAAGCGTTCGGCATTTAAAGTTTTATATAAAACATATAAAACTGGCTAAGTATTTTTACACAAATGAAGAAGGAAATTAAAGATAAAGGATTATACTATATCCGTATAGATTTCTTTGACAGATAGTTGAACGTAGTACAGTTTTTAACGATATTGCAACAAAATTAATAGAAATTACTCTTATTTTTTCAGTTTTTAAGAACAATTATACTCAATATTAAAGACTATTAAATTGTAGCTATATATGTATAATTAAGGAGGAATTGCGCATCATAAGCCATTCAGTTATGAAAATTATTTTATATAATAATAAAATTTAATTAGAGCTTAATTATAAGGTTTATATGGTAAGTGTCATTATATATTTTTGTTATTAAGCTGGTATGAAACCCTTCTTTGTACGGGCTTTTATTTTTTATACCATACGATCGAAAAAAAACGGTGTCAACGATAGAATGAAAATTATATGGGGAATGTCATCGCTCGTCATTTCCAAGCCGTCACTGAACGCCGTTTATTTACGATCATACGGTATCTTTGTAGTAACCGTGTTGCTCAATAGCTATGTAGGTATATAGCAGATATTTTAATCGAATCTGTTAGACCGACGGACGACATCAAGACTCATATTATGCTTTAATTATCTAGATATCTATAAACTTAAATGATATGTTTGCCTTAAAATATTTTTTTTATTACTCTCTCCATAACTATTTATAGTATTTTTTTTAAACATCAATATATACAGTCTATTTTTTTTACACTTGATAAATACATTTGACAGTGATAAAATCATAATAAATGTCTATACCTATATGGCGGATTCATCTCTCCAAAAAAATGGGTCTCTTATATGGGTATTTCGCCACTGCAAGAAAATCTGCAAAATAAAATAGTTATTTTTTGTAAACACTGCTGCGTTAATCCAATGGAGACTAATTGTCAGCACTTAGGTTTACTGATAAACATATTTTCCTAATGAACAAAAAAATGCTTAACGTTTCGGAAAGTGTATCTCTTTCCGTCGTCGGAAGCAAAAAAAAAACAAAGAATAAAGAATGAAAATATTTAAATGCGACTATTCGAGAACACTTTATTTTTTTTAACAGATACGTGTACAAAAACCGTTGACGTTCTGATAAAATGACATTATATCAAATTAAACTTCAAAATTAACAATTTACTAGCTGATAACAATTACTTAATAAGATAAAACTAAAAAGCTTTCAACTTTCTCTATGATTGTTTTTAATTTGTTTTTAATTTTTACGTATCTAATGCTTATTTATGTTGTGTTCTTTAAAATCAAAGAAGCGATTGCCAGATATTGCCAGATATATTGGCATTTCACTGGTTTTGCATTATTACCTGTTCAGTTTTAATTTAAAAATAGATGCAGTTTTTCTGAAATTACTTAAAATCGGCTTGTCCAAAATTGCCCAAAAGCTCTAGTCTACAGAATAATACACGAGAAAGTTTTGAAACTACTGGTTTACAAATCTAAACATTTTTGTTACTTAAAGAAATACAAGATTTTTTCATTGTATCATAATGGATCTTTAATTGATCGCTTTGTCGTAATGTTAAATATTTGTTTCTTAACAAATTAATTAATTTGCTTTAATTTTCAATTATTCTCAATAAAGTTCTCGTTGGTTCTCGCAAACTATTACGACAAGGTCATAGATTAAAGGTCTGAGGTGTCGAATTAATAAATCTTTCGGCACAAATTGAAAAGTTTGTTTCTCGTTAAATCGCGAAGTTTGACTAGCGATAACTTAGTTTTGATTAAAATTATTCTCGACACCGAACCTAAGTTATGATTTCGTACAGCACTAAGTTTAAAATTAAATTACTTTCCGTATCCTTGTGGCATATTCGTCTGTGTTTCAATTTCTCGAAATTATTTGAATTAAACTTTACGTCAGGAATCAGTTGGTTTATTGGTTTGAGCCTTTGAATAAAAAGATTAAGGAAAGAATACTCGTATAATACTAGCATAGATAAAAGACTTATAATATTAAATAGATAGGCAACTTATAATACATTTCAATTTTATTATACAAGGGCGCCTCTGGTAGTCGGAGGAAGAAATACTAAGGGAAGAGAGGGGTGCGGGGTAGTGGGGTTGTTTTAGTTAATTAGTCATACATGTAAGAACACTTTGTGTACTTTTAATTAGGTGGAACATATTATAAACGATAAATCAACTTAATTAAAAGCATACAAAGTGTTCTTATATGTCGGATATTAATTAAAAAAATATTAAAAAGACTAGTAATAGTACATATTAAGTTGTTACAGTTATAATTTAATCTTTGGCGGTTTTCAGCAAATAGCAGGCAGTTTGACATAATTTTCCTCCCTTTGAAGTGAATTGGAAACGGCTATATAATTTTGGTGTAGGCAAGATTCCCAGTTAGTTTCCGTTTGAGACCTGAAATAATAAAAACAAATTAAATTAGATTTAACCTTCTGCTGATCATGCTAATATAACGCAACGCGCGTCCTTAATTCCTTACATGCACCGTAAAAAAAAATAACTGCTCAGCAAGTAGAATTTATTAGCATCCCTTGCAGTACTAATTTAAAAAACCTATAACTGAAAGTAGATATATTTAATTTACTCACCATTGTATCCTTCGGAAACCCGGTGTACAACAATTAAATTCCATGCTCCATGATAAAAAATAATTAACAATCTATACAAAACAGAAATTGTTTCACCATTTTTAAAAAACATTGTCTAAAACAGAATACTGCAAAAAAATCTAAAGAAATTACAATAATTCGACAAATCAAAACGAAATCAAACCGTAAAATCACAACAAAAGCGTCTCTGAGTGTCGCGTGTCAGTTAAAAATCAAATTTTATTATTGTCAGATATTGACATTTGCATTGTTGATTTTGACAGTTTTAATATTTTGCGCCTCTGCATCTTGGAGGAAAAACTATTTTTAATGAACTGTCATTTCCATTTAAGTTTCCCAGCCATGAATACTAGTCATGTATTCATGGACGGAATCTACATCATAGGTGACAGGTGACAGTTCTGTTTGACGTTTTAATTGAAATATTTGATTTCAAATTTTGTGGATTTCTTTTGTTTTTACTGAGCTTATTTTATGTTATTTATTAATTATTCTACAATTGGTTTTGTTTAGAGTTAGTAAATTTAGAAGGAAATTGTGTTAGAACAGTGCGTGCGATAGATCTCGGTCAAAAATCGAAGAAAATAATGGAATAATTTTTCACTGGTAAGTGACTATACAGGGTGTCCCAGAAATAAGCGCAAGTATTTTAAAGGGTGGTAGATCTGGTCAAAAGAAACATTTTTTTCTCTTTACCGTTTTTCAAATAAGTCCAAAGTAACCGAGTTATTTTACTTTGAAAATTTCCAAAAAAAATGATTTTTTGCTAAAATTTTGAGAACCACTGGATTTTTTCTGGATTCTCTTTCATGTATATTTAAGCTACTACCTATGTTGCCATATTATCAAGAAATTATGTTTTTTAACATAAAACTAAAAAAAATCTAAAATTTTTTTCAAAAAATTCCAAATTTTCAAAAATTTTTTTCGCAAAAAATACCTCATAGGCGTGTTTCTGAGGCCGAAATAGACTACCAGTTAAAATACTTGCACTTACTTCTGGGACACCCTGTATAATATACCTACATACGTGGAATAAACCGTTAATTCTGGAAATTTACTTATAATTAACTATTTATTATATAATTTTATAATAAAAATAATTGAGATACGTCAATTTGACTTACGCTTTTCGATAGTGTATGTGTGTGATATTTATTTGTATTATTAAATAATTATTTTAACTTATCTATTTTTATTCGAAATATATATTTAAAAAAAAATAATAACTACTAACATTTATTGACAACGTAATACCATATGATCGAACAAAACCGGCGTCAGCGATGGCTATGAAATGAAGATCGCTATCATTTTATATGTAAAATTATATGGGGAATGTCATAGATGATCATTTCTAAGCCAACTGGACACCGTTTTTTGACATAATATAAAAACATGACACGATATAAAACAACAAATTATTGAGTCTACCCTACATTATATTTTTGTAAGTTTTGAATAAAATTAGAACGGCACTGATAAAACAGAATTTAATTCGGCCATTTTAGGTCCCCGTCGCGCTTCACCTAAGTTTTTTGATATACTCTTTCCTTAATTGTTTTATTCAAGTTTTATTCAAAGGTTTGAACCAATAAAAATGCATCAGGCTCGAGACCGTATAGATAAAATCACTATTCCGACATACTTTTAAATTCTTTCTTTGTTCAGAATCTCAAAATTAGTAAATTCAATTATATTTTATGCTTAAGAGATCACGACCATTCACAATGTTAAAAAAAATTAATAGAGTGTCCTAGAAGCACCTTGCGGTAATCAGTTGTATCCATAAAGCCAATAATTAGCTTTTAAAACATTTTTTTTTATTTGGAAAGGCCATGATATACAAAGGCCATAATGATATTACTCGCACATGTGTAATAGCGTCTTCAATTATGATTAGTCAAAAATGTTAAAAGTTTATTAATTTTTTCTACTAATGGAAAAGTACTACTACTAATTTTTTGTGTAATTAGAGGAAAAAATTTCTACGCTAATTGAAACCACTAATTTATTCCACTAATTTTCAGATTCTGAATGAAGCTTAATTAAGGAATGAAGCTAAATTAATTTCGAAAATTATCGTGTGTTACGTAGAAACTACGTAGATCAGTAGTTTCTACTAACCAAACCAAACCAAGTACCTTATTACCCCTCTATTTTTCTTAATTTTTTTTTCATGCAGACCGAGCTAGCAATCCGGTATAACGACATCTCACCTCTGGAAAACCACCACTGCAGCGTAGCGTTTCGGATATTAGAAAACGAAGACTGCAACATTTTCAAGTCCTTCACTAGCGAGGACTTCAAGCAAGTCCGAGAGGGAATGATCAGATGCATTCTAGCCACCGACATGGCCAGACACAACGAGATACTCACCAATTTCAAGGACATTGTGCCTTGCTTTGATTACAATGATAAAGCGCACGTGAATTTGGTAAGTCTATATGCAAATTGTTTTGTTCGTGGGAAATAGATTTCAGACGTGTATATTCAGACATAGTTATCCGGAATTCTTTGAATTTTAACTTGTTAGATATAATTGACAACTAAAAGAATTTTCGATTATCGAATCGATTATTTTTAATTATTTTCGGTCAAATATACCTATCACTGCACGTTATCAAGTAAGTATATAACTGCTGGGCTTATACAGGGTGTTTCAAAAAGCATGTGCCATATCCTAGCATGTGCCTTATTGTGGAGATTCCTCACGTAAAAATAAAATTTATTTTTCATATCAACATAGGTCCGATTCTGCTTAGTTTCGTAACTACAGGGTGTTAAAGTCTTAATAATCTTTCGATTTATTATAATTTTTTCCAAGTACTTTTGGTGATTGGAATGAAATTTTGAGGGTAAAAGCTACTATAAGTGCTACATATTTTAATACTAAAAAAGTGTCGATAAATTCATGAGGGACGTGCATATGGGTTATCACTGGAATATTTAAAAAAAAATATGTGCGTCACTGACTTTTTTTTTTATATCAAAATTGTGTAGGCCGTTTAATGCCAATTAAAAGTTGTCTCTTGATATTATGTCGAATTCGGCCTCCTTAACGAGATAAAAGCAATTTTATTAATCACAATTATTATCAAAATTAAAATAAAAATTAAATTAATAAATTATATATTTTAAATAATTTATTATTAAATATTATTACTAGTAGATATTATTACTATTAGTCCAACCTACAATAATTTCAAATAAAAAAATAATGGTATTTAAGATATTTGCAAAAAAACCTAATTTTAAAAAGTCCATCATGTAACTCTTAAACATCCTGTGACTCTAAAACTATGCATTTCCATACCCATGCTTATAGAAACTTTTTTCATATTTTTTCATGAGGAATCAATGAGTACTTATTTAAAACCTTCGCAAGTTAATGATATTAAAATTTTAAGGTTGCTATTAGACTTGGATCAAGGCAAATTAATAAAATTGCGTTTATCTTATCAAGGAGGCCGAAATCGACAAAATATCAAGAGACAACTTTAAATTGGCATTAAACTACTTACACTATTTTGCTAACAAGGGAAAAGAAAGTCAGTGTCGTACATGCTTTTTTAAGAAAAATATTCCAGTGATAACCCATATGCACGTCCTTGGTGAATATGTCGACACTTTTTTAGCTTTAGAATATGCCGAATTTACAGTAACTTTTATCCTCAAAATTTCATTCGAAATGCTAAAAGTACTTGGAGGAAAATTATAATAAATCGAAAAAATATTAAGACTTTAACACCCTGTAGCTACGAAACCAAACAGAATCGGACCTATGTTGATATGAAAAATAAATCTTATTTTTACGTGAGGTATCTCTCTGTATACCAGAGCAAAGTATTTACCCGTGAAAAAGTTGGGTGCATTCCACTGAGAATACTCGCATTGATTCGTTTTATAAGTGGTTTCTCTCTCCACATTCACAGGATACTTGGTAGATGCTGATACCAACTCATCGCATTCGCAGGGTACCAGGTAGAGATGAGCAGAAAATCGCAAACTGCGATTTAATCGCAGCGACTGTAAATTCGCCATTGCAACCTGCGATCCCTTTTCATAGTAAACTGCGAGTTGCGATTGAAACATCTATCTGGTGATTTTTAGGCAACCAATATTACTTCAGTTGCAAATGGCAACTGAACACTGCGAGTTGCGATCGCAGCTCCCAATACTGCGATTTTTGATCACACCGGCATCGACACGCATACGGCGCCGGAGTCCAGCGCAATTCCCAGTCTAGAATACAGAAAAACCGATGAATTTTAATAATCGAGTACTCGAGTTTCAAGCGATTTCAATAATCGAGCGATCGCTCGAGCGAAATTTCGCTTGTATTTAAAGATACGGTTTTTCGCCAAGCAGTAAGCTGCGTGCGCAGAGCGCATATTCTTTCGATTATAGTGGCAAGCGACAAGCGACGAGCGACGAGTAGTTTCGCTTGATCATGCATCGAAGCCTTGTCGATGTAGGTGGTACAATTTTTACAGTCACAGAGTTACGTAACAGATAACGTCGGATAGTCCTATAATTAACAATGCGGTCCCAATCAAATGAACAATCTATTGTTTGAAGATATTTTACCAAAAATACTGTTAAAATATTGCCAATTTGCAATGCATGTAGCAAATTCGCTCGATAGGGTCGCTTGCGTTCGTAACTCGCAACTTGCATCGGTCGTTCATAATCGAGCGATGTCGGTTATTTCAATAATCGAGTACTCGAGCGAATTTTCGCTCGAGTTATCCTATCACTAGTCTAGACTAAATCGCAAAATCACATTCGCGTATTCGAAATTTTGTCAATATTATTATTCTATAGAGCCGTCGCAAATTATTTTTAAAATAAATTAAGTAAAGTGTTTTGATGAGTAAAGTATGTAGTAAAGCAAGTTTTGCACTTTTGGTAATTTTTTTGCCCCATCCTTAGTCAATCCCTAGCTACGCCCATGACATCTACTAAAAAAGTTTTGTCTTTGCAGCTTTGTATGGTTCTGATAAAAGTGTCCGACATATCGAACGAAGCGAGACCGATGGACATAGCGGAGCCTTGGCTTGATCGATTGCTGCAGGAGTTCTTCAAGCAAAGTGACGCGGAAAAACTAGAAGGCCTACCGGTAACCCCGTTCATGGACAGGGAGAAGATCACGAAACCCTCTTCGCAGTGCTCGTTTATAGGATTTGTTTTGCTTCCGTTGTTCGAAGCGTTAGGCGAACTGTTAACGGAATTGCAAGTAAGGATGTATTTTTTTTTTCATTAGTTATATTTCTATGTTGTCTATCAGTAGTAATTAACACTTTTATTAATCCCTGTAAATGAAGCTACCAGCGCAAAAACGGCCTAATCCACAAATTCGCAAATTTGAGCTGAATGATATTTATTTTATTAAATTCATTTTGTATCTAAATAAAGATAAGTAATAAGTTTTAAACTACAAAATTTGCTTCTTTAATAGTTTACATGCAATTATTAATATTGGCATTATTAATAATTTCATATTAGAATACATATAGAAACATGACAGAAAATACAATTTACGTGTGCATTAAAATAACAAGCACATCTGTGGCTGTATCCTCTGGTTGGTAACAATTTCAACATTCCAACAATCCGAAAATGGGATACTCTATAAATATAGTTTACTTGTTCGTATTTTATAAAATTCTTTAATTCACTGGTATATTTACAGTTTTATTTTCAACTAGATAAATATTTCTTTTTATATAAAGCATTTTTACCAATCAAAAATGAATTTTATTTCAGACCATATATCTGATGTCAGTACGTATGTTTCATTTTTTCGATAGTTTTTTTCGATGTTTTATTCACTTGTATAAAAAAATCCAAAAATTTAATTAATTTTGGAAATGAAGAGCTAAAACTAAAATGCATTTTTGAAACGTTTGAAAATATAATTATAACGATAGTATTTGCTATTCGTTTCAATTTATATCGGTTTTGTGTATGTGTAATATTTTTTTTACTTTAGTTTTTTATAATATACCTCTAAAACATTTTTTTTAGCTTTTGTTGATTTCATATTCAGGGTGAGTTTCCTACGATGTTCTCTATGGGTATCTCGGAAACTACTGGAGATAGAGAGTCGGTTAAATGGGGAAAGAATTGCAGTTTTGTGGGGTCATAAATATGCGCCTTTCACATTTTTGAAAAAGTTGGCTTACTAGATATTTCGAAAAAAACAAATTTTGGCTATTTTAAAAATTGTCCCTAATTCCATTATAATCTATTTTAGACAAAAAGTTTTCAGATAAAAGTTATAGATAATCACATCCCTAATGAGTTTGTGTTCCTCGATTTTTTTTCTAAAGCCTGTTACTTTTGACATATGAAACAAACATATGTTTTTTTTAAATGGAAACCATAGTTGGCCATGACTTCATAGATAGCGCCATTTTTTAAGCTTTTCACCGATATAAGCTATAGTATGTTATTTTCAAAAAATTACTGAATTGTAGCCAATTCTTATCTTTCTTGACTTATTTCACTTAGTTAGCCATGGAAACATGTTTAATCGTCGTTGCTCTCAAAAATGTGAAACTGTCACATCCAAACTTTGTAAATTAAAATAAACAAAAATTGTAAATATGAATTTTTCAAATGAAGAAAATCGTGTAGAATTATTGGTTCAACTTTTCTTGGTCGTACAGTTTTAAGGATACGTTGACCGGTGAACGTTACTTAGGTTTATTTAGAGAACGGTTTTCAAGAAAGAACGATGTTAAAAAAGTTAAATTTAGATACTCGCGCATTAATTGAGTGGTTTCAACACGACTTTCATTATGACACACCACCTCCCCCCCCACAATGAAAGAAATGTTAAAAATTATTTATATCATAATTTTGTAGACTCAGGGATAGAAAGAGGTGGACCAATTGCGTGGGCCTCCTCGATCACCTGGCCTATCTATTTTACATTTTTTTATGCGGTATTGTTAACAAGGTTTACAAAAGAACTTATGAATTAAGAGAGGCACTCGAAGAGAAGGTACAGGAGAAGTTTAATTAAGTCGACCGGTCGTTCTGTGAGAATAGCTAAAAATTCAGTTTTAAAAAGATGCATTTATATACTCAAAACAATGGCGGATATTTGAATATTTTCTAAAATAACTTAAAGTGTATGTAGTGATATTATTATTTAGTTTTAGTTTGTGTAATGTAAATTGTAAAGAGCCGTTTAATAACATATTTTTTATTTTTATAAGTTATAAATCATAACAAAATTAGAACACATGCCAACTAAGTGAAATTAGTCAAGAAAGATGAGAATGGGCTATAACTCAGTAATTTTTTGAAAATAACATATTATAGCTTATATCATCGAAAAGCTTAAAAAATAGCGCTTTTTATGAAGTCATAGCCAACTATGGTTTCCATTTTAAAAAACATATGTTTGTGTCACATGTCAAAAATGACAAGCTTTAGAAAAAATCGGAGAACACAAACTCATTAGGGATGTGATTATCTACAACTTTTATCTGAAAACTTTTTGTCTAAAATAGATTATAATGGAATTAAGGACAATTTTTGAAATAGCCAAAATTTGTTTTTTTCGAAATATCTAGTAAGCCATGAACTTCTTCAAAAATCTGAAAGGCGCATATTTGTGACCCCACAATTCGATATTTAACCGATTCTCTATCTCCAGTAGTTTCCGAGATACCCATAGAGAACATCGTAGGACACTGTATCATCATCACCCTGTATACTAACTACTAATAAAATAACTATTTTATCAAATTAAGAATCATAATATTAAAAGTTGACGAAGAGATAAAAGTTAATTCTCCATTAGAAAATTTTCCCAAGGAAAGAAAATAATGTCCGGTATAAAAAGCAAGGAGATCGTCATTACGCTCTATGAAAAATTTGAATATTTATATCGTTCTTCTAGCGTTTCTTGAAATAAAACAGCGGAAATGTTTCGAAAATAATTCTCTTTCTAGTAAAAGTTTGAGTCTCGACTGTTCCACGACGGAATGGAAACAATTAATAGGGAAAATTTAATAATTATGCTATCAAAAAATTATTCCGGTTCTTCAGACTTAATGTCTAAGGAAGTCAGTATAATTTTATTCTCGGATAAAAAAATCAATTATTTTAGAGATGGGGCATGATTTTCTTTCTATTTCTGTCAAATTAATTACTTCGGTCATTATTTCAGATGGTTTAAGGAGAATATAAATACTATGCAGTTATTTTTATTGGAGGGATATTTAAAAAGTTATGTTTTTACAAGTTTTGCATACGCATAAATTATACCATGTGGTGCATCGGAACGCCGGATACAAGAAATCCCATGTAAATTTTGAAAAGATCAAATAAATATTATCTCCCCAGTGATTTTATGCAAAAATTGTATTAGACTTTTTTGAAGAGGCGTTTAAGTTGTACTGTCGTCTGGAATTTCGTTTTATTTGGAATAGGCATCTAAAAGTTATTTGCAAAAATCTACCTTCAAATTACTAATCATTTATAATACGGCCCAGAGAAAGCTACAATTGAAAAACCAGCAAAAATATGATTTTGTCATTGTCAAATTCGATGTCACATTTTTTTTGTTTACGAGAATTACAAGGTGGTTAATTTTTTTCTGAATTGGAATGATCATCTACAAAAGAATTAGTTGAACTGAGGATAGTATTTGCGGTGTATGTGACTTGTTTGCTGTTCATTACTCGATCAGTCGCAGGCTTCGCCAATACCACATACATCCACAATAATTCAAGTGATAATCGAAATATTTGTAACACAAGGAACTTTATTAAACTATACTATTAATAAAATGTTTATATAATAGGCATGTTCACTAATTTCTAATTTCAATAAATTTCGATAGCTACATATGTGTAAAAAAACATGGCACTCAAAATTTTTCTTAAAAACTATAATTTTCTCACATAAACGCAAAACATAATTGAGAAATGCAGCAAGGCTAGAAAACGTACCCGGTTCGAGGCTACCTGTTTTTGACGTCACTGCTTTGATCGATCGATGGCATCCGTACGATCGTGCAGTTGCCGCATTGTTTTTGCATCAGACGTTCGCGAAGGTATATTGTTTATTTTCATTGTTTTGGTGTTTTGAAGAAGTAAAATCAGTTCAAATAAGTGGTGTTTTGTCCTTGGGTGTATTAATACTTCAAAAATGATCCACATAAGTTTAAATCGTTACTTTGCCTTGCAATCGCCCCTTGCAATTCTTATTTTCTACTTTTAAGTGCATTTAATTTTTAGCTTGTTTTTTAAAAGTTTTTTTATCAATTTTTTCAATGGAAGCAAAGTTGCGTATTTGTGTGTCCAAAAATAATCTATGTCTATTTTATTTTAAATCCATATCGGTTATGTAGATACAAGTTGAAAAAGAAAAAATGAACATTTTCGAAAAGCCACCATATTTTCTTTATTATTGAAGCTAAGGTAATCAAAATTTCAATATATGGGCAAGGCAACATAGCAATTTTAAAAATGATATCAAAAAAAACCTAGGCCTTCTATATTGCGCACGGCCGAGGTCAGCTTTTATTTTTCTTATGAGCGCCATATTTAAATTTGGCATTTTAAAAATCCTTATTAAAAATGTTTTCAACCATGTTTTTCATTTCAATATGGCGCCCATAGGAAAAGCAAAAGTGCACTTCGGCCATGCGCAACGTAGTACGCCTAGACTTTTTTGGACATAATTTTAAAAATTTCCATATTACCTTACCCCTATGTTAAAATTTTGATGACCTTAGCTCCAATAATAAAGAAAATGTGGTGGTGTTTAGAAAATGCACATTTTTCTTTTTCTCCCTGTATTTACGTAACGGTATATGAATATTAAATAAAATATACCTAGATTATTTTTGGACACACAAAAACGCAACTTTTCTTCTATTTAACCGATATTGTAACTTTAACGGTCTTCAAGATCCCCATTATTCCCCATGTTTGTATTATTATCTCCATTTTCAGCCAATTTTGTATTATTAAAAACCAAGTGTTGTTTGTTATCGCTTTCAAGTAAACCCGTCCTCCATCTCACTAAGTAGCTTTGTTTTTAAACTAGTAATAAACTCCAAATATTAATCACTATAAACCAAATTTAATATACAAACTACATCCGAGCACAACGCGATATGTCGTATTGTAGCTTGTTCTGTTAGAAATTCCACAGTGGCAGACAGCACCGTTCGTATGCCCATAAATATGGTTTTGAGTGTGCTTCACAGCAAGAAGTCTTTCGGTGAAAGATCCTGTGGTCTTTTCCTACTGTATCCCAAATAAACGAGAGTCAATGTTTTTCTTTTCTTCAACATGAAGAATATTCAAGTTATTGTTATTTTCTTCCTGTTTAATTATTTTTTTCTTCACAGTTTCATGTGCTTAATATCTTAGTGCCTTTAGTTTCAAACCTTCGATTTATTCTTTAAACTGTTGACTTATTCGGTATAGGCTTTCCGGAGACTGAGCTGCAAACATATCTATCACAGCGGGAATACTATTTTCAGCAAAATGCCGTTTAACCATCGTAACTTTGGTAATAGTTGCATATACGGTTTTCGGCTATTTTTGTATTATATGGAAAAAAATGTATGTACTCACATTCTATTGACCCTTAGAGATTGTAAATATGCAAGAGAAATTGTGTTTCTTTAAGTATTTTTTCAACCAAACAAACTTACAGGACCGAAGCGAATAGGGGCGCTGGGCGGGGTAAAAGCGTACAAACTGGTAAAACATGACATACAAATATAGAAAAATCGCATTTTCCATTTAAAAAAATTGAGAAAATATAGATTATGCACGGAATTTCAAAATATTTTAATTTAATATTTGACACATATTTGACGTTATCTGACGTTATGAGAATTTTAACACTTGATTTGACATGAAACCGACAGAAGAGCCAATGTTGCCAGTCCCACTTAATTTTCTTTAAAATTTTTATATCTGTAGCAAAAATCAAACTAAATTAAATAAAACAAACATTGACAAATATATTAATAATATTTTATAAAATGAAGTGTCTATTCTAATGCTGTTAAGGCAAACATAAAGAGCTTGAGTTGAGGAAAAATGCAATTTTGGTAAAATAAGAGAAAACATTTTCTAACATACCAAAAAAAACAAAGAATCAAACCAAACAAGACCAACCCAATCTAAACCAAACCAACCAAAACGCTCAGTGTGTTTTCATTGTTATAGATATAACTAAGAAATTCTCTATACCGCTATTTAGCCAATTTGTTAAACTAAAGTAAGTAAAAATATAAATAAAAATATTTTAAAACCTATGACGTCATTTTTCCCTTTGAAAAAAAAAGGATGCATGAAATTTCGGACAATTTACTAGCTGATTTGGCAACTATGCATCAATTCACAATGTTTGTCAAAATTCAACCTTCGCTACTGTCAGCATATCCCATATGCATATCCTTTAATGTAACTGCCCAACTTGCCAATGATTTCTAAATAAAACAGTTCTTCATAGATTTTTTGAAGAAATTTTACATTAAAAGCTTAATTAAAGGATTGTAAAATGGTTGTGTTATGAGTATCTCTAATCAGAATATTGTTTTTACCCCGCCCAGCACCCCTATTCGCTCCCCGGTCTCGTAAGTTTGTTTGGTTGAAAAATACTTAAAGAAACACAATTTCTCTTCTCCCCCAGCATATTGGCAATCTCTAAGAACAATAGAACGTGAGTATCTAAAAATTTTCTTATATAATCCAAAAATAGCCGAAAACCGTATATGCAACAATTACCGTAACTTTTTAAGAAGTTGCGAAATTCATAATTATTTTATACAAAATTACTCTGTTTGGTACCTTCAAATTTTTGTAAACAAAATGTGACATCGAATTTGACAATGACACAATCACATGTTTGCTGGTACTTTAATTTTAGCTTTCTCTGGACCGTATATTAAATTTTACTAATTTGAAGGTAGATTTTTGCAAATAACTTTTAAATTACTATTCTAAATGAAACGAAATTCTACACAAAAGTACTTTAACGCCTCTTCAAAAAAGTCTAATACAACTTTTGCATAAAATCATGTGGGGAGATAATATTTGACCTTTTCAAAATTAACATAGGATTTCCTATGTTCCGTGTTCCGATACACCACAGAGTATACCTATCTCAAATATATTTCTGCAGGATCTCATAGTTCAGCCTGTCCGTGACGCTCTAGACTACTACAAAAGACTAAACGAAATGACGAGAGAGGAAAGACTGCACCGCAAAAGTATAGTGGCCGAATTGGTGGCCAGCGAACACAACTCAGCCAGTCAGAGTCCGGATAGTGGGACTGCGAACGCGAGTCTTCCAAAATCCAATTCCAACATCAGTTTCAAGGGCAAATCGCTCGTGTTCCAACAAAACAGGTCGAGGTAAGATTTTCGTCTAGCTATAAAGAAAATTTTTTATTCTGGAAATATACTATATACAGGAGGTGCCCGGTGGCGTAGAGGTATCTCGTCTACCAATCTGAAGGTAGTGGGTTCGAATCCCACACTCGGCATTTCATCAGCCGACTATTTTTATTAAAATAAAAATAGTTTGGGTACCTAGGTCGACTCAGCCTTAAATGAGTACTTGGGATTCACAATCCTGAGGTGATAATAGGCGGTTGAAGCGTAGTGCTAGCCACATTACCTTCCTTGTATACCGAACGGCTCTAGTATGGCAAGCTGTACCTTGCTACTCCCAAGGCGTTAAACGCTATACATGGGAGCTATTATTATTATTACTATATACAGGGTGAGTCTTAAATATGTGCAAATTTCAGGGTTGGTAGATCTCGATAAAAGAAACATATTTTCTCTTTACCCTTTTTCAAATAAGTCCAAAATAACGGCGTTACCTATATTACTTTGAAAATTTGCAAAAGAAATTTGCTGGAATTTTGAGAACCACTGGATCTTTTCTGGATTTCCTTTCTTGTAAATTTAATTTACTACCTATGTGCCATATTATCAAGAAAAAATTCGCGAAAAAACCTCATAATCGTGTTTCTGTGGTCGAAATATACTACCCCTAAAATATTTACACTTATTTAAGACTCACCCTATATATCATGCCATATTTTTTCATATCAGAATAAATGCACAGCTATTTATTAGACAGCCAGTCAACTGAACTGAAGACAGTCAGTTGAACAAAATATATTAAACTTTTTAAATACATCAGTGTTTTAAAGTGCCCATTTTTCGTGCCGGTGAATGTATTTCAAAAACTAAACATTTTAGTCATATACTTTTCTAATGAAACTCGCCTTTATTTTTTTACTAGAATCCGAAAATCAATTAATATACATACAAGGTCCGGCAATAGTGCGTCGGGCATCTGTAGCTCCAAGAATAAAAAACTTAAGAATTTTGTTTAAGTGCAAACCTAAAGTATGTACCAGGCTGTATTTCAGGAAAATATTTTAACTTTTATAGGGTGGCTCAAAAAAGTGTGAGTGGACCTGGATAATTTTTTTAAAATGGAACACCCTGTATATTATTGCATTTTTCGATTCCTTTCAGATCACTTTACATAACCCTAAGATATGAATAAATATATTTCGATAGTTTCAGAGATATTAAAAAATAAATGAAAAATATATATTTTTCATATCTTAGGGTTATGTAAAGTGATCTGAAAGGAATCCAAAAATGCAATAATATACAGGGTGTTCAAATTAAAAACATCATCCAGGTCCACTCACACTTTTTTGAGCCACCCTATAGAAGTTAAAATATTTTCCTGAAATACATCCTGATACATACTTTAGGTTTGCACTTAAACAAAATTCTCAGGTTTTTTATTCTCGGAGCTACAGATGCCCGACGTACTATTGTCGGACCCTGTATATGTAGGGTGTACCATTACAAAAAACACAACTTTGATGTGTAACTTTTTTGGGGACACCCTGTAAAACTCTATATGATTTTAGAAAATGCTTTAAATTGACTTACATAAGCTCACAAAATTTCACTTCAATACAAACTTTTGTTCTCCTTGCAAACACCGCGTCTTATATGACGCGCCACCCTGTATAATTCGACTTCAATGATTAGAATATAAGCAGAATAATTATAGCTTATGCATTAGATTCCTTTATTTCCATAAATTTGCTTATAAAAAAAATAAAAAAATTAAGAAAGAAAAAACTAAGAATTTTACTTAAATTACTAAAATAAAAAAATAAAAGCAACGAAAAAAAATGAGTAAACATTTTAGTATTTTATCTATAAAACACAATACAGAAGGTTTTACATTAATACATTCACAGTAATTAAATTCCGAGGTAAAAGTCTCCGGGCACTCCACTAATACAAAAAAAATCTCTATTCCATATAAAAAAGTATTTGAGAAAATATTAAGGTAAAGTGTAGTTGATGCAGTATATAGTAATCGCAAAACAATTTCCATTGCACGTGATCAACTTTGAGTGACAAGGGATGGCGACAGCGCTGCCAGATTGTGATGGATTTATTAGATGAATCTTAATTTAAAAGTGACAAACAATATATTTATTATATCATTTTTTAAAGATTTTTACGTTTTATTTTTAACTTAATATTAATAACTTTAATAATAATTTAAACATTGTTGCCAAAATTTCATTTAGTCAGGTTTATAGACTTTAGTGTCAATGTCGATATGACTGATGACGTGCATCGGAAAATGTTTTGCGATTACAATAGTATCATGATGTATTGGTTTAATTTTGGGACACCAAAGATTCCAACTTAAATATCATTATTCTTTTACAGATCTCGTTCGACCGACGAGGACACCGAAGCCAGTTTCGCAGTCGGCGGTGATGGCGTACCAATCCACGAAGACCCGAGCCTGGAGGACGTCCTTGAAGACCCCGAGAGCGGCGACTCCGAAACCGCTAACGAAGTGGAGGTTTCCGAGAAAGCCCTCAAGTTCAAAATCTCGACCGAGTGCACCGTCGTCTCGTCCACCACCGGCAGGAAAAGCTACCCCGGTTCGCGCAAGGGTAGCAGGGAACGTGGCCAGCACATCAACCACAACGAGCTAACGCGTATGATGCAAAAAGGAAAACTCAAAACAACAGCTTACAGTTTCGATCATCATTATCTGTCGGATAACAAGAAGCTTTCCTTTGACAGTCCGACATTCCTAGACGAGTACTCGCTAACTCTCAGGAAAAAATTCGAGGAGGGTCTGAAAAATGACAACGACGCGGTGACAAATAACGAATCGGACGAAGAATGTGTTCTGTCAAAGGAAACCATTAACCTCAACAAGAGGAACTCTGAGCACTCTGTCAAAGTACCGTTTGAAGAGAAAAAGAGCATACTTAAAAGCTCTGACAATAAAAATCGCCTTCTGAACATCGATACATCGGGAACAAGTCCCAAAAATAACGTGTTTCATAAGAAGTATAAATACACGGAACAGGATGATAACGATATAAACCTTATAGGTCAAAAAGAAGAATTGAAATTGCAGTCGGTGTCTGTGGGTGAAAATAAGTCTTCAAACAAGTCGTCGATCTTGTCGCGGTTCAGGCAGTTCACTGACAGATTCGGGCTGTCGCAGGACTCCAAAATGCGGCACGCGAAGAATAACAACTGTTCGAAGAACTCGCCCAGAAAAGGTAAGAAATTAGTAGTAGATGATAGAATTGTAGTAGACATAGTAGTGGTACTAGTAATACAGCCAAACAAATACTTTGGTGCCTGAGATAAAACAAACTGTAAATCAAACTGCTTGTTTTCTTACTGAGTAGGGTAAGGTCTTATTATTGTCTACGAATTAACTAAATCTCGAGACAGTAATGGAAACTTTCTTCCGATGTATATCTGTTACCGGCAAATAATTATATGAAAATCCTAAAAATATTAGGCATTGTATGAAATAAAATATACTGTATAAACCTACTAGGTATTTTATAGAATACCGATTTGATAATCGGCAATGGTATGAAATATTGTTACGTTTTTCGTCGGTTCCGTGTGGATAAAAACTCTAATTTATTTAAACACAATTTAATTTACATTAAGTAACAAAACAATAACGATAAAACACTTAAAGAACTATTTGCAAACTTATTTACAACTATTTATCTAAAAGGGGTTTATTTGAATTTATTTTGAAAGGCGCGATCACGACTATCGACTCTGATTGATTCTCTCTTTGTTTTTTTGATGGTGCATAGACTTTGACTGTTTCTTTGTCCTCTTTAAGAATGGAAAATTTGATCTTAATATCCTTGATTGAGGGATAATAGTAAAACTGGTTTAGGTGATGGTTTAAATAATACCAACATCCCTGTACAGGGTGGGTCAAATTCGACGCTTTTAAATGGAAACACCCTTTTCTGTAGGAGGTAGACAAAAACTAATATCGGTGTCTGGAGCTCAATTTTTGTCAAAAACATGATGGCGAAAACCGCATATCGATATCTGTTACCGTTTCGGAGTTACGGGGTGTTTTTCAAAAATATGCATTTTTAACAAATCGCTGTAACTTTTTTGCTATGGAAAATTTTGTATTTTTATGAAAACATATCCAAAGCACCTTTTTACGTAGAATTTAATGGTTTAAGTATAATTTTTTTAAAATTAATAATTTAAGAATTATCAACAAAAAATTTGATTTTTTATATGGGACACCCTGTATATTTTTCATTTATTGGAAAGAATTTAAAATTACCTTTCCAAAAATGTGCTTAAACTGCTTGACGTTTAAAGCTGATTTTTGGCAAACGGATTGACTGTGGGGTGTAGAGGTTCGTAAAGGAGGGGTTTCTCGATTGTTTTTTCTCATGCTGACATAAATGTGAGAAAATTTTATCCAGTTTGTATGTTAACTAAAATTCTTGCTTTGCTTTATCATCACCATTACAAATGATTAATTCGACGCGAACGAAGTCACGGGTATATGTTAGTAGTATTATATAGTGCCGTAACATCTGGGCCGCTCCAAGTGAAACTAGTATCGTCCGCAAAGAGCCAGATTTTACCGCTAATGTCTAGATTTGCAATGTCGTTGATAAACACCAGAAACATAATAGGGCCAAGTACTGAACCCTGAGGGGCACCATATTCTATAGGCTTGCAAGAAGACATAGACGTATCAATCCTCACAAGCTGCCTTCTGTTGCCAAGATATGACTTAAGCCATTCGAGCGGCACTCCTCTGAATCCATAGTAATGCAATTTATTAATTAAGATATTATTTCAAATCACTTTGTTTTTCTTGTATTTTATGCAGCTGTTCATGCTTGCTTGTATTTTAGGCAAGGACAAATGCTGGTCATCCCAGGGAGACACGGACGACTCAGGCAAAGACGACGGCAACGCTTCCGACGCTGACAATCACTCCCTACCCTCCACGTCACAAATCAACAGCAACTGCGCCACTCCTGTACATCCCCCGACGAGTCAGAGTCACCAAAGTTCGCCGAGAAAGAGCGCGGCTAGTGTACCGGACGAAAAAGACTTCCTAGAGAACAACGTGGCGGACAAGTGTAAAGTGAAGTTGCAGGAGATGAAAAATGACGTCGACAAGGACGCGAACGTGATCTGACAGGAAGTCAACATTCCCGAGCGGGAATGCTTCTCTAGATACATGTTCTGTCACTGTTGTACATATAGGTCTAATTCTCGCGATGCTGTCTAAGAGATTTTCGGCGAAGGGCTGGTGAATGTTTTAGTTACAGTATTTTTTGGAAGCTGTTTATCTTTTATGTCAGTTTCAATGCACAATCTATTTAATTACGATTGTCATCTATTTCTCAAAGTTTTAATAACTACTAAGATAATAAAAAAAGTAATTTCTTTTGATTAATTATAAAATAGTTTCTTGAAAAAAGCTCGGGTATTTCACCACTGCAAGAGGTTACTAAATTTGGCTCATAACTTACTAGGAACTAGACACAAAATGAAATTATTTATACACTCAATAGCTCTAAAAAACTTTAGAAACACATTTTTCACAATTAAAATAAAATAAAATAAATAAAATGGACAAAATAATTAATTCACACGTACACAGCAGAATGGTAAACAATCCGTCGAAAGCTACGACTGACGTCACAAAGCGAGGAATTTTCGCATGCACATTGCAGACATTTTCGGCTGAATGAGTAATTTTGTTAGGTTACCTGTTCTTGGTCTTGTGTTAAATTTTAGCATTTGTTTTAATAAAGCAACATTTAAAATATTTTATACTTTTTATATAAAGCATATCGTCCCATTGCTGCCAAAAGTCACTAACTTACTTTTTATTACTTCCGAGAAAAATGCGTCTAAAGATGAATTGCATTGCATAAAGATGTTATAGTTAGTAACTATTCGGTATTAAAATAAAACATAAATTGCCAGAAATCGTAGTTAATGACTTTTGCAATCGATTCTCCGCTTCAAAACATAGTGATTGAATTTGGTTGTTCGGAAAAATGTTAGTTAGTGACTTTTGGCAGCAATAGGACGATATGTATCTATCTGTCCATACAACATTTTCCATTTCACACTTTTCTTTATTACGTTAAAGAAGTTGTTTGTGAGTAAATTGCAGTTATGTTCACTTCATACTTAGTTATTAGAATTTGAATCAATAATATGTCTGTACCTTTTTGGCAGGTTCGTTTCTCGAAAAGTCTGCGTCTTTTTGTCAATGGAAGAGTTATTTTTACAAAATAACAAAGTTACTTATTAACTTAACTTACTTAGTACTTATAACACTGCTTAAACGTTCAGTAAATTGTTTTTCTTTGTTTCTAATTTTTATGTTATTTTATTTTATCTCCAATAAAAAAAAATTGGCGCCGGGAGGCACGTATAGCCGCCCATACTAAAATATGTTAATATCTCGAAAACTGCGACTTTGACTGATTTTGATGTTATTACAAATTTTGTTGCAAATATTATTCCTAATCTTAATTTGAAAACCGCGTTTCGCTAGCTACTGTAATTTTGGAGTTACGATTTTTTTTAAATTTTTAACCCCCTCCCTTACCCCCTTACCTACCCCACCAAAAACTAATAGCCAGATTCTCGGGTGCCACAGTATTTTTGTGCCAAATTTGGTTAAAATTGGCTCAGCGGTTTTTGAGTTATCGTGTTACAGACGGCAGACGGACAGACAGACAGACAGACACCATGAAAATATTTTGTATTTAGGTCATTTATGACCCAAATAACTCATTTTGAGTGAAATTAAAAAAACTTTTTTTTGCCGATCTTATTAGCCTACCATACCTATTGGTATGGTCGGCTAATAATTAAAGAAGCTAATTAATGATTTTTTGTCGATTAGGCAAACTTTTTTTTCTAGTAAAAAGCCACTGACAAGCTTGTTTCCGTTAAAGGCGGACTCTCACGACTCGTGTACACTTGCCAAATACGCCAATATTTGCGCACTTGGCAAGTATGCTATCTTTGTGAACAACATTTTTTGCAACAAGCCCGGCGTCTACGCGGCGCTGTGAGTGACAAATAATTGCACAAGGAAACCGCTCACGATTCGCAAGTACACGAGTCGTGAGAATCCGCGTTTAGATTCAACGCAGTGGTGTTTAAAAAAATACCTTTTTTATTTTGTAGATTTCTCTCGCAGCGTGGAAAAACAGCCTTTTTTAAGACTTGAATCAATAATTTAACGAAATTAATTTTGAATATCATTTCACGAGAACGGTATAATAATTATTTGGCGCATTAAACTATTATGACAAATATACAGCTTTTCAGAAATAGAAGCAAATAAAACACTCAACAGCTCTTGCTCTATCTGTTTTCCTTTTGTGTTCTATTTATTATTTAGTTATTTATTACGTTACTTGTTAAAATTCTACTCATTTCACCTGTATAGAGAACATTTTATAACAAACCTAGTTTGTACGTAGGTCGATTTAATATTAGTTGACGTAATTGGGAAAAAGAAATCATACAATTTAATTAAACATGCGCTGCTGTTTTTGAACAAAAGCAGACTTATTGACATTATTATAATGCTAGGAATTTTGTGATATAAGTATTTTCCTTGCGTAGTGTGCGCAGTGTACAAGATTTTTTCTTATAAATATTTAATCTTACAGGGTGTCCCACTATTCTCTGGACATATAACTACTGTAATATTAATTTACCATTTTGCTGATTATCATGACTAATTTGATTATTAGAGTGTATTAAGTCTCTTATCTACAGGGTGGTCCGAACTGTATTCCGGAAACTTCGGCAACATATTCTGCAGATAAAAGTTAGTAAAAAAGTTCGTATAAATGTATGACTAAAATACTTAGTTTCGGAGATACAGGGTGTAGAAATTTCATTTTTATTCCGATTTTTTCAAATTAAATTTCTACACCGTCACCGTCTCTCCGAAACTGAGCATTTTAGTACATACATTTATACGAACTTTTTCACTTATTTTTATCTGCAGAATATGCTGCCGATGTTTCCGGAATACAGTTAGGACCACCCTGTATATATCTGGGTGTCGCAATAAACCGCGGACATAGAACTACTACGTATTTTTAGAATCAAAATAAATTTATTTGACACATTTTACCTCTAATAAAAAGTACTTCGTTTGTCCGTTAGAGGGCCGTCAATAGAAAATAAATTTAACGTTAATTAACGGACACACGCAGTACTTTTATATAGATTTGTGTGCAATTAACCCATTTTGATTCAGAAAATACGCAATAGTTCTACATCCACGATATATTAGCACACCCTGTATGTTTGCACAAAGTTATTGATCTCAGTACAATTACCTCTTATATTAAATTTATTTCAATCTGTAATTTAGGTTCAATAGAAATATAAGAAAAAATCTTATGCTATCTAATTTATATATTATTTTAGTACACATTACTTTATTTGATTCATATCCTTTTATTACAATAACGAGTAATTTAACTTTCTACGTGCCAAAGTAATTAAGTTATAGAAAAAAAGATAGTTTTGATCATAACGTTTATTTTATATGAACATCTTAATTAATAAAAATTAGAAAATGTTTTATATATCTTTTTACCCATAAATTCATAATAATTGCATTTCTTTTAGATAAATGGACAATACAAATAAAGTTGAGTGCAATTTAACTGGAGTGATGATTTTTTTACTTATTGTAATAAAAGGATTTTTCTAATAATTCATATGAAATTAACAAAAAAAAATATTCTTCCCTTTGTATTAAAATTTAGTTTGAATTTTCTTAAAATGTTAAAAACATTTTTTTTTACCAACCCTGTAATAATTAGCCTTGCTGACATTTTTTCATTAAATACGTGGACCTTGTTGTAGCTAGAAAAACAGTAAAAATTTAATTATTGTTATTTGTTAGTCTGATAGTAATTTATTTTTTAAATTGATTACAATATATTGATTTAGAATTGCGTAGCTTTACTAGTACCATAGATATTTTGATATATAGTTTTGTAAAATTATACAAAATAATCTATATATTTAGACATAAACCTATTCTGTTACATCCAATATATCTAGTTCATACTTCATCCGTACTTCATTTTAAAAAAATAAATCGTGATTTTCATGTTTTATTATACATACCTAATAAATTATTACTTATAGAAATGATAGTAACAATGTCTACGGGGTGCTCATTTTTTGGAGCAGTCCATAGAATAAGATATTTAAAGAAAACAATTATTTCATCTTAACACAGGGATATAAATAATTATTTCAAAGTATACTGGACATTGCAAAATTCATTAAAATATAACGTATTTTGCAAATAAAGTTTTGCTTAAAAAAGTAGACCATCCTGTAGATATATAAAAACTAAAGAACTTCAAATGGGTTTGTAAAATATTCAATAAAACATAATTCAATCCAACAACAAATGTTATTGACATTCGTTGTTAAATAAAAAATATATTATATTTTAACTTCTCTGATCATATAATTAATTATGTTAACTAATTAGGTATATCTTGTTTCTATTTCAAATTATTTCAAATTCCGTCCTATATAGATAGGATGTCCCAGAAAAAAGTGCAGACATTTTAACTGGTAGTATATTTCGGCCCCAGAAACACCTGATGTTTTTTGTTGAAACTTTTTTTTTATATTTTTCTTGCCATTTTCCGGGATTTAAAAAAGAAAATTTTTAGTGCCACTTGTTTATTCACCTGAGATTTCTCTACGGTGTATCTAAACCTTGCAGTGTTGCCACCTCCTACCTTAACCATATTCAACATATGGTAATCGCAAAACAATTTCCGATGCACGTGATCAACTTTGAGTGACAAGCAATGGCGACAGAGCTGCCAGATTGTGATGGATTTATTAGATGAATTTAAAATTGACAAACAACATATTTATTTTATCATTTTTTAAGAGTTTTACGTTTTATTTTCAATTTAATAACTAATATTTTAGTGATTAATTGATTTATATGTTTTATAGCTAATTTTAGTTATTACATATTAGCAAAAACTAGTCCAATATGAAGATTATTATAAGCGTTATTATGGGTTATTTATTTATTGATATACATCTTACAACGCCATAAGTGGGAATAACAAGTAAAAGGGTGCTATTAATGCACAAACTAATAATAACAGAATTTAATAAAACCTAACTTTGAACGTATAATGTGCTTATCAATCAAACTTACTTTTCTGACTGCAGTCAAGGCTAATAAAGGACCTTTATTGTCACGTTCTCGTTCAAAATAGTTAAAAAAAACAGGGAAGCTACAAGCTCTTTGCTCCGACTGTTTAAATGCTTCGGCATATTTTCAACACACAATTTCAAGAAATGCAATACAAAAACTCGAAAATTTAGTTCTTAAAAGAACTGTTTGTGCTTAAAAGTGCAATTTTTTAAAAAAGACTATGGAAATAGGCAACAAAACGAGAGTTATTCACAAAGATTCAACAACAACAAGATATTATACAAAATAATGACTGACACTAGGATAATTGTCAAATAATAAAGGACAACATTGCTGAACACGGCACAATACAAAGACATTATAAAGATAGACCGAACATCTCATTCATAAATACTCGTTGGTAGTGTATCAAACATTCCAATGTGTCAAACAAGGACAGAAGAGACAGAGAAGTCTAAAATTTCCGACCCCGGCAACTAGGCGCATTTGGATTGTTCTAATGGCCAGTGGCGTATCGTTTTTTGGAACGAATTTAATTAGTAAAGTAAAAGTAAAGTAATTAGTAAAATTTTTACTCCATATTAATATACTACATTAACACTTTTTCGTTAGATGAGTTTTGTTATAAGGTCT